TATTTTGTTTGATAAAAAAAAAATACTATAATACATATATATTGTATTTTGTTTGATAATTTTGGATTGTGACGTGTAATTGAGAAGTTATAAATCATCTTAGCTTGCTATTTAAACTCATGAGATGTGAACAATAAAACGTGATAAATGGTAGATATTATATAAATTAATCTGATTTTAGAACTTAATTTAACTATACAAAATAATGTACTTATGATTTTAGAACACTTATGTAATATAACTACACAAAATAATAATGTACTTATGTTCTATGAAGTATGTGTAGTCATCATTGATGGGTTAGTAATTAAATAAATGTTTTAAAAAAATACTACAAGTACATAATGAATGTACAAAGAGTTATACATAACACTCACATGGAATGGGGTCCACTTGATTTTTTATTTTTAGTGGGTCTCACTCAATGTGAGTGTTATGTACACCCTTATTATTGTAATAATATTATGTACTTATAACATTACTCAACATTTTATTGTCTACGTTAGTCACTCATGGAAGTAGGCACATTAATTTCTATGGAGTATTTACATTCAAAACTAGTTGTGGCCCTAGGTTGAGAATAAGTCATAAATTGAAGTTTTCAGTATTTATTAACAAGAAAAAAACTACTTACCATGCTTGTTGCTCCATAGCTTGAACCCGGAATTTCAACTCATTATTCTGATTGGTTAACTCAGCATATTCTTTCTGTAATAGAGAAATAAATCAAGTTATCACATTTCTAACCCCACTTTTCTTGACATACACAAATCCTACAACTTAAAGGGGTGGCCACACTAGTCCACTATTTACAAGACTTAGCAATTTAAAAGCAGAATGAATTCTAGCACACGTCAAGGACAGCATTGTCTGGAGAGCGAGTCTCTGGCAGGATATCATTTCATGACCCTCAGGAATTTTCAGTTTTTCAGCTGAGCTACTATAAAAGGAAAAGTTAATTCTACATGGATTGTAAAGAAGGATAAACAATTATTATGAAATATGAAATTGTGAATCAAATCAATCAATATATTGTTACATAAGAGATAAAAGAAAGGCGAATGGATAGACATCTGTAATCTGGATATAGCCTTCTATTGGAACAATAAAATTCAAAAATGACAAATGAATCATTGTCATTAGCTAATTAAATAAATTCACTTTGCTGTATCATTTCAATTAATGTTATTCATTAAAATGCAAGAAAAGAAATGAACTAATCAAGAACTCAAAAATATTTTTTTAAGAAAAAGCAACTTACATTTCAATTAAGTTAATGTCAAATTCTCATCCCAGTTGATGATTAGAACTTATTACTAACCTATAGAACTTACCGTTATCTACTAAGAGTCGTTAACATAACAACATATTCAAAGCATCCACAAATTTATATTTGGTAAAATACTATATCTTTTCTTCCTAACTGATAGAATTTTTCCAAAACAAATAATTTAGTTAATTATAAACTTATTCATTGTTGAAATTACAAATGAGATGTTAGTTATGTATAGAAACTAAATAAGTCAACGAAGAACTATAATTTATTTTATATAATTGACTTTGTAAATAACTAAAAAAAAAAAAAAAAATGAACACAAGTTTCCTTTCCCTTGGCACACTAAAGTCATTTTATTTTCCCACCTAGCCTTTCGATTTCTGCTTGTGGGTTTTCCACAGTCTACATCATCAGAACACCCAGCAAGTATTAAGTATAAAAAGTTCCCTCAATCCGAGGGTTCCCAGGTCGTTATCTTAGACTTTCCTTCCAAACACTCAATTTCCTAGCAATTTTTTGCGAAGCAAGTGCCATTTATTATTCGATATGACTACATCACTCTAATAAGACTGCA